AGTCGCAATGAAAAGACAAACTCGATATTATGGCTCTAACCAACCCTCATAGTCGCGATTGAAAAGGTAAATTGGAGTGTGAAGATTAATTTCCCTTATAAGAACTCTAGGAGAAGAAGCTTCGAAGGCACAAGGTAATCAACACTTGCAAAAATGAACTCTCGTTGTATTATTAATCAAAGAAATCCATTTTACAAAGTTGAATGAAGCCTCCTTTATATAGGGGATGAGTTCTAAATGTCCTAAATAACTAATGAATAAAATAATAACAAACTAAACATGTCTTAACTCTAATTCCTAATAAAATAATAATAAGTAAAAATTTTTTTTTAACTTAACCTTAATTCCTAATAAAATAATAAATCTAATCATAAAATATAACACATTATCCTATATTAAATTATATTATAAATAATCAATATAAATATTGAAAATTCGTAATATTTATAAAATCACGTATTAGTCTCGTATAGGAATTTATGCATGCGTTAACTTCACTAAAATGAACGTATCTTGAGTTCCTAATATCGGATTGATGTGATTCAAGAACCGTTGGAAAGGTAAGAGACTGAAGGTTGTATTTCTATAAGACATGTTGACCAAATAAGATCAGGATCCCATTCAAAAAGTCATCACAAATATGCTGCTGTTATGGTCTTCTTTTCCAAGGCTTGGACGAGTGGATCATTTGGAAGAGTTATTACTTCTTCCTTTGACGTGATCCTTGTGATGCATGTACCATATTTCTTCACCATCATCTCATGAGTAAGCAAAGACCCAATGAGCTCATCTAGATTGAGAGTCTTTAGATTATTTGCTTCAAAAATGGCGGTCTCCTTGGATTACCATAACTAGGGAAGACTATAGATCATCTTTCTAAAAAGCTTCTCATTAGGAATGATTCTCCAAAGCCTTTAAGACCATTGAAAATAACCAAAAATTGATAAATCATTCTTTTAATATCCTCATCCGATCTCATATTGAATTTTTCATAATTATGCTCTTCCATATTCATCGGGGCCAAGTGCACAAAATAAAATGTGCGTTGCCTTTACATTGAGTTGGAACAAGCTTCTCTTTTCTTCACTCCATTCCATCATAGGTTTATGTGTAGTAGAATATCCACTCAAAATGATACTCCAAGCTCCCAAATCACTAGCTTGGATGAAAATCATCATTCTATTCTTCCAATAGGCATAGTTGGCTCCATTGAAGTAAGGAGGCTTGTTGATAAGTTAAGAATCATTGACACCGTCGAAGCTTGGTGTAGAGGTCATGGATGACTTGACTCTTCTAGGATCTTCTAAAGAGGTAGTAAAACCTTCCAATGAGTGTAGCTCTGACACTAATTGTTGAGTCAATCGAATCAATGGAATGGCCGAGAATGGGTGAATTGGCAATTAAAGAAATGATTGAAGCTTTTTGCAAGAAAATGAAAAACTTGACACAAGCAATTTTAGAGTGGTTTAACTTCTTCAATGAAGTCTACATTATCTACCTTAGCTTCCACACTAAGGATTTCAACAAATTAACTAATTTGTTCAAACCTTTTAGGATAAGGTGTAACCTTACAATACACTTAGACTTATACCCCAAAGTCTCAAGTGTACAACACTTCCTAAGAAGAAATTAAAATAAGCAAACTTTGAAAATACTCACAATGATAAATTGTTTTCAAATTGAAGCTCTCACACACCCAAGAACACTAGAATGAAAAATACAAACAATGAAATAGTGTTATATGTAAGAAAGACACAATGAAATACAAATTTGTCTCTAAATGCTCTTTGATTGTTGGAATAGCTTTCTTGTATTTTCTTGGCTGTTTGAAGACCCATTTTATATGTTGTCATTAAGTTTTAGTCGTTTGGGGTTGTTAGAGGGAGTTTGGAGTAATAAATTCGAGCATTAAATGTAAATTTGCAAGAGATTTCGAAACATGTGTTTAAAATTTTTTACCTTTGAGCATGGGGGTTTCGAAACCTGTGGGGGAATCTTGAAACCTTAAGTTGGAATTTGGCTACTACCTCAGGCCAAAAAAATTGTTAAAAACGGCATTATTTCATGTTCAAAAAGTATTTTAAAACCTTATAAAATTCAAAAACTATTTTAAATTTATTTTTGACATTTTGATCCTTAAAAATTATTTTTACAAACTTAAAAATTCTTGAATCAAATAAATATTAATTTTACAAAATTTTCAATTTAGTCATTTGTTATATCAAAATCATTTAATTACATTTATCACAGACGTTTATGGAGACGATAGACTTAAGGTTTGCTACCATGGAGCTCACTTTTCTGCTTTGGGGACTCAGATTTTTGATATTATTGCTCGAAAGTTGTCTTTGGAGGCGGTGCATGTAGACTCCAAGTGTGATTTATTTTCTAGAATCGACACGATTATAGATAGGATTGACACTCTTTCTCACGACTTCGCTTCCTTCCGCGCTATGTCTTCGTATCATGATCCTCATCCGTCAGATGCCTTATCATTTTTCCATGATTGAGTGTTTGTTATTTGCTCATGTTTGGTCTTGCATTTAGGCATTGTTGGATATTTTTATTTTTAGGGTTTAGATATTATTTATTCATACTTTGGTATTTCGGATTTGGATATTTTGTGTACTTGAATGGTTTTATATGGATATTTATGTTGTTGGGATGATTATTATGATTTTATGATATTTAATATTTAAGACGTGCTTATTTCTTAATTATGACCATGATTATTGTTGAAGGATACTATTTATGTTTACTAACCTTTTTTGTAAATTTGATATTCGTAGCTCATATAGATATATTTCTATCTTGTTTTACCTTTTTTATTTAACAAAAAGGGTAAGAAATGTTAGAGTAAGAAGGAGTGTTTAATTTCAAGTAAATCTTAAAAATCTTAAAATTTTTAAAAGGTTTTGTTATATTCAAAAGAGGGAGATTGTTGAACCATGCTTTGATATTTTGATATACCAAAAATTAATATTTTCAATTCAGTTTTCAAGATTATATTTGATTTGATCGTTCAAATATATAAATTACTTTTAAAGTAAAAAACTCCATGTCTATTCCTTACTCTATCAAAAATTCAAGTCTTATACTAGAAATAATTTTCAAACTTTTTTACGAAGGGTTTAAGATTTTAATCTAGTCAAAAACTGATTTTTAACTCATTAGTACCAATATTGCAATAACAGTATCGATACTATTCATGTGGTAACAATATCAGTATCGATACAAATAGCCTAAAATTGTGAAGCAGTATCAATACTTCTCATAGAAATGTCGATACTCGAAATGAAAGTATAGATGCTCTCTTTAAGTTTTTGACAATTGCAAATTCCAGTATACTGTTGCAGCACCGATACTCCTCTGAGTGTCTATACCAGTATCAATACTCCTTCATGAGTATTGATACTCTTGATACTCCCTTTCCCCCAACAACTATAATTTTGTATTTAATGCATGTAATATCGATACTTTAAGCACGAGAACTGATATTCTAGGTGTTTAGACAGTATTTATTGCGAGAAATTTCTTCCCGGCGACTATATTAACTCCCACAACAACTCAAACAGTTAAAATTGAGTGAAGAGTATAAAAACAACATTCTTTAATAATTTTTTGTTTTCTTAGAATACTTTTGTACTCATTTGTTTTTATTTCTCAAGTGTTCTTATTTGTTCTTGAATAGTGTAAACACAATCCCAGTAAGATTTTCTAAGTTTGCAAATTTGTAATTTTTTCTTTGAGAAACTGTCACGAGAATTTGGGGAATAATTTTTAAGGGAGTTGTAAGGTTACACGTTGTCCTTAAAGGTTAATACAAATTAGTATAGTTGTGAAAATTCTTACTATATATAACTAAGGTAATGGATGTAGACTTTAGTTTAGAAAGTCAAACCACTCTAAAATTCTTGTATTCAATTTTCAATTCCTCTTAAGCTTTCACTAAAATTTTATTTGCCAATTTACCCTCTCTTGACTATTTCATCATTTTGATTGCTCAACAATTATTGGTTCAATAACAAAAAAAGTCATCGTCCTACTTAAAAGTTATAATTTAATTACTTAATTAAAATATTATTAAAAATATATTACTATTAAATTTAAGTAGATATCTAATATGATTTGGTATAATGATAATTTTAATTTTCAAAAGTTATAGAGCTTGTCAATTTAATCTTAATTCAAAACACTTCAATAATTTAAATCTTTATTTAAAAATTTTATAAATTGCACAAACTAAGCGACGACAGTAGTAAAAAAATTGTTATTATTCATTGAGATCTCCGATTTAAGCACTAGGAATATAAGAGGTGTAGGCATTCAACGTCAAATGGTTGAGAGTTATCTTTGAATAGATACTACTACCTTGTACTTGCATCAGATTAATAAAAAATTTATATTTTTTCCAATACTAGCAAATCATGCAAGTCTATCAAATCAAAATAGCAGTTTGATAACTACATTTTACCATTGAACAAATACACAATTGATAAACTGTTATTTTTTTTATAAAAGTGCCCCAAAAATAATATAACAATTCTGTAAAAAAGAATTAAGAAATTTATATGAAGCACAAAGATTAAATTAATAAAATCCAAAAATATTATAGAATAACTTTATTGAGTTGTTCCAAACAAGATCAATTTGATAGAATATATAAATTTTGGACCCCTATCCCATCTAATATCCGTCTATTAATGATCGGTTTATAATAATATTTTAATTAACTAAATTATAATATTTTCAAAAATGCCCCCTCTATTATCTAACCTACACGAAGTGCATACTTCCATAAATGAATATTATAGTTCCCCACATACACAAGTGAATATAATGATCATTTATTTTCAGGAAAAAACGAGAGAGAATATAATTATCATTTAATTATGTTAATCTAATTGTTGAGTTGAGAACTCTACGTTATGACATACATAATTCAGACATGGATATTAGGAGATACTCTTTTAAGAAACCTTCAAACATTAGGGAAAATGTTTTTAAGAATTGAACAAAGTCATACGATGCATTACCCAAGTTTAATGTGTACATCCAAGTCCGAGCAACATAGGTGGTTTATAATGTTTACCTCAGTAGACAATACCGGAAAAAGGAAATGTATTGGTAAACATTACTTTGCATAATCAATTGACAACATCAAGCACTAGTTTTCGAGATTTGAAAATAGACCATTTCAAACGCCTATAATAACCCGCTTGGAGCAGTGCGAGCGACAGCACAAATATCCACTTAAACCCCATCTGTGTTCAATCCAAAGTCAGAATTGTTATACTTGCAAAAGTATCCATGTTTAACATATACAAGGATAGGATGCCTTAATGTAATAGAGAAAGTTAGAAAAGGTTCATGGCATAATGACAAAAATAACCCTCAACGTTTTTCTAATTGGTCACTTTGACCCTATTCTTTGTTTTGGAGCATTTTAACCCTTAATGTTTTAATTTTTGGTCAAAATAACCCCTGTTAGACAAAACTCGGTAGTTGACTAACGGTCAATGCATATTGTTGATCTGGTATTTTTACATGTGCTAAATTAATGATGTGACATTACATATATCACATTATCCAATGTGATGATAAAGCGTGTATCATGTCACCCAAAATGATTATGTGACGTGTCACGTCACTTAAGCCCATGTGAAAAAGTCACATCAACAATATGCGTTGACCGTTAGTCAACTAACGAGTTCCATTCATCATGAGTTGTTTTGACCAAAAATTAGAATATTGGGGGCTAAAATGCTACCAAAAAAAGAATAAGGGTCAAAGTGACTATTTAAACAAATGTTGGGACTAATTTTATCATTATGCCAAGATTCAGCATTTATACCTATCCATTAGGGATCTAATTTGAATGTAACAGCTCATTTCTTTATTGACAATAATTTCATTAAAAGTAAAGCTCTATGCAGGGGAAACAATTTATAAGACTTACAAGTTTTCTCTCCTCCATTTCAGGCTCTGCAGCCCATGCTAAAAAAGTCACCACATCTTTCCCCATCTGCACACCAAGATTACCAAATATAATATAAAGATTATAACACTTGCTTAAGTGAAGATTGCACAATGATCTAGAACAGGATGGTTAACAAGATTACTTGGGCCTCTGTAGCTGGAGTACCATCTTCATATTCAACAGCACCATCAATCAGCATCTTCGGCATGGCAATTGCACCTCCAGGAAAGTAAGGGTTATAATGCAGCCCTTCTCGAATCTAGGATACAAGAGTATCACACAACACACGTTATAGAGTAGTTGAAAAGTGAGACACCAACTACATAGCCTGTTATATACAAGTGGAAGAAGAAACTACCGAGACACCAGCAGGAGGATCACGATAGCCTGTAAGAAGGCCAAATACATAGTTCTGGCCATTATGACGTGCCTGAAAGGACAAAGAGTTGGACATTGAAACCAGAAGGAACGGATGCATATTATCATGAAATCAACATATTAGACACCTTGGTAATAAGGCTCAAGTCCGGGGGATATGCACCTCCATTGGCAAACCGAGCTGCTTGCTCGTTTACATATGGTTGTGGAAAACGATCACTTAGCTTACCAGGCCGGGTGAACATCTCACCCTCGTCGTTTGGCCCATCAACCACTTCGATCTCAGCTGCCATGGCCTTTGTTTCTTCTTCAGTATATGCCACACCAACAAGATCTCTAAATGAGATTAGAGACATTGAATGACAAGATGCACAGACTTGTTGGTAGACCTGATGACCCCTGCGAATCCTGTTCATGTGCAATTGATCCATATTAATCCAACCATACAGAATAATAGGGAGCATCCATAATTGTAAACATATTCACATCACAACATTAGACAAAGGCGCTCAAACATGGCATAACAGTTTAAATTTTTTTTGCTGAAAACAGATGGTGCAAGGAAATGAAAAATGCTTACGAAGCATGGTCGTATGAGCTTAGTATGCCTTCATGAGGCCAAGGATAGTTAGGAACAGCCAAACCATGCTCAGCCTCATCTGAACAAGCTATCATGGAACAACCCCAAAGCCCTGAGACTCCTGCCCCAAAGAGTGCGAGACATCTCAAAGAATTAGTGTATGCAGATCCTAATCTATCTTGACCTTGTGCTGGAAGAGTCTGCAAAAAGAGTTTTGCAACCATGTAAGTCAATAAAAGCTTTCATCTCAAAGCATGAAAATTTCATATTTGCATAAACTAATTTGCCACATGACTAGTGTTAAAATCAATTCCAAAAACTACTTGCTCATTCAAACATATTCAAGTCTGCAAAACCAAAATTGTTAAACAGAAAAACACTGACTTAGTCAATGAAAGCCATCACGATGGGCTATGGATATTCTAATACTTAACAAAGCATTAATAAATAAATAAATACAAATCTTAACAAATCAAACCAAAAAATCTTAATCCCAATACATTTTGGGCCGCCTACAAGAATCAATGCATAGAAACATTTATGTAGAGCATATGTATAATCCTCCTCCAGTCATTCTCACCACCATCCTTTCTTGAAGTTCTAATAGTTTCATATCATTATCTATCACCTCCAACTGGCTCTTTTTGATATCTCCTTCAACCTTTTACCCTATGCAATGTCAATTTGCTCAATCCTTTTAACAAGAACATTTTAACCTATGTCCAATGTGGCAAAACCATCATAAACAATCTTCTCTTCATATATGATACATCCTCCATACCGATTCATAGGCAAATACTCTTATATCTAACCTAGTCATTTGTATTTTTACCACAAATCTATCTTAACATTGCATATTTTGCATGTCACTTCTTGTTAAACCAACATTCAGTATCATATCTTGTTAAACCAACATTCAGTATCATATAGCAAAGCAGGTTTTGTAGTTGTCCTCATCGCTTCCACTCTAGCCACTAACCCTTAATCCTATACTTAAATCTCTCCATCAACCTCCCTGTCTTTCTGAATTATCCCTCTATGTACTTGAAGCCCTTCTTTCGGCATCACTTAAACATAGTTTGATAACACCTCAATCGTTATTCCTTTTTTTTAATAAACATACACTCCATAAACCCTGAGTTCTGTTTATCCCCTAATATCTAATTTGGTACTAACCCCTTGTTTAGTCTCATCAATCAATATAATATCATCTTCCCAGTCTTTTCTCTAATTTTCATAAATCACTGTTCTATTCTCCGTTGAAGTTTGTTTTTCATGATCCACATTTAAGAAGTGGTTGGAGTGGATAGTTGTCATTTGACAACTTTACCCAGCTACCACTCGTATAAAAGTATGGTCCTCTCCCTATTTTTATATGCATTTTTTCTGGTTCTATTCTTTCATTCTCGGAAGAAAGGGAAGAATTTCTTGAAGAAGAAAGTAACACAAGCAGAGTACCACTTCTCACTTTTGGTGTACTAGGTTTAGAAGACTGCGATAACCTTGGGAGCAAGATCCATTTTCGGGATTACACAGATCGGGACGAAATTGCTTCTAAGACAGTGATTTTTACCACGACATAATAAATCGTTTAATTTCCTCCGTTATTTGATTATTACTTGTTAGTCGATGCTAACGTTTTCATTTTTATAACAGTCATATTTTCTAACAACCTGAAATGTTAATGTATGAAAAAATCATACGTAATAAATTCCCATAAAAACTATACTAGCATATGGATAATTAAACTTAACAACAAGAGCTTCAAATAACAATAATAAAAAGCAAAAACATGATGACGATGATGATGATGGAATCATACCTTGGCATGGTGAGATCGACGAGCCAACGTTGAAAGAAAGCTAAGCTTCGCATATCCTGCTTCCAAAATCAGCAATTTTTCAATAATTGAAAATTTAAAACCATAAAGAAGAGATTAAAAAGAAGATGAATGCATTAAACATGGATACCGCTCCTGATTTTGTGGCCTAAACCTGTAAACATAAGCGAACACAAAATTAACAAAGAAACGTAAGTATTTTTATTCTAAGTTCTAACAGAGAAAGGGAAAATAAAATAAGAAAAGTACCCATTGTTGTACAAACAAAGAGAGAGGTCAGCTATTTCCAAAAAAAAAAAAAAGAGAGGTCAGTGTTAAAAAACAAAAAGAGAGAGGTCATTGGACAGTTTTGATTGTAGAACTAAAGAAGAGGTGGAGGAGAACAAGTGGATAGGTGACGCGTGTACCAGAGATAAGGTGGTGGGAATTTGAACGGCTGATATTTCTCCTCACCCCAAACAACAGGTCCTATGTTCTCCATTGTGAAAACATACATAGACTTGGCAATTCCTCAACCATGCGCCTTTACTTGCATCTACTAGATTTTTTGGGGGTTCGAAATCTGATAGGTTTTATAATCGAGGTCACACGAAACATTTTAGGTTAAAATTTTGATTTATAAAAATGGCTTAATGTAAAGATAAGAGTATAAATTATATATCAAAAAATGTTTTATCGTTTAAAGAATTATTCGTTAAAAATAAGTGTTTAATTTTTTTCAATTATATTTTTAGGTTCACTCTCTATTTCTTATTTTTTTAACAATAAAAATATTATTTTTAATTACAAAATAAAAAATTAATTTATTTACAAAAAATCTATTTTTTTACTAAAATTATAAAAAATCCTAAAAATTAAAATCTTTCATTTCTACCCAATTATCAACCGTCGCCAGCCATCTCCGACTACCATCGTCATTGTCGAATGGTCACCCACCCGTCACCACCCACCTATTGATCAATCTTTCTCTTTAACATGACCAAAAATCCCTAAATCTAAAACCTCCAAAATCTAAATCCCTAATTCTCAATTTCAATTTCATAATCCAACCAATCACCGACCATATCTAGCCATCATCATTGTTGTCGAACGGTTGGGTTCTGATCAGAATAGAACAATGGTTCGAATGGTGGCGACATTATAGCTTATGGACGGCAGAATAGAGGGAAAAAATATTGGTGGCTTAAAAATCGACGAATCTTTGAATGATTCTCTATAGTAAACAGCGACATGTTACGACGTAAGGTTAACTGGAGTTTGATCGGGGTCAACGTCGATACCAATGATGGTGGTAGTGATGATCACCGTCGATCGGTCGGGGAACTATTGAAGGGGAAAGGGAAAGGGAAAAGGGGAGAGCGGAGAGGGAGCAAAGGGGGTTGGGGTAGTGTTCTTTATTTTTAAAACAAAAAATATTTTTATTTTTTAAAAAAAATCTCAAATTACCAGAACGTGACATGTGTCACTTAACGGATATATTTAACAGGGGTTAACATCCGAACACCTAAAAATATAACGTTTGAAACATTAGTCACCTATTTTTAGTAAAAAATTATTTAGTCACTAAAACATTTTTCGGGACATAATTTGATCACTTATTTTTGTATTAAGCCTATAAATATTTATCCACCCTAGGATGGTAGTTATAAAAAATTATAATTGTAATTATGTTGTTCTTAGACACTTTGAGAAAAATATGATTTCTCATTTTATTATCGATGTCCTTTCTCTTCACATCAATGTACCATTTTTATATATCGAAAATTGCCTTCCGACTTTCTTGAATCAATTTAATATTGTCCTGGATCTTCTATAAACCAGGTTTTAGCTTAAAATCATATTTTAATCCAACTCAGTCTAGCATAATAATGTCCATCATATATGCCCATATAATTCTCATACGGTGCCATATCTATATTCGATTAAAAAATCATTACTCCCTTTATTCCATTAAAGTCGTTCCTTGTGTGTTTTAAAATTGTCCTATTTAGATTGCTCCTTTGAAAAAATCAACAACTTTTATCAGACATATTTTCCTTTCTACTTTTTTTTAGTTTCACAATAAAATAAAATTTAACTTTTCAATGATAAAATTATCATTTTAATTTTTTACAACATATCTCTTACACAAACTTTTTCTTCATAAAACTACTGATCGCTTGGAAATGTATATGCTAAGGCAAACAAATATGTGCAAGTATACACAGTCGAATCAAGTAATAAAGGGTAAGTAAGTTATCGTCTCCTCAGGGATTGGTCGGCTCTTTTAAGTTTCACCACAACTAGAACTAGTTGTCACGAACTAATTCCTGAAGTCTTGTCAAACTAGAAAACTATTAATAATAACTTAAACAAAATAAAACAAGAATATATAATAAAGTATGGTTGTCGACAAGTTTGGTCGAGACAAAATAAATATGCAAAACTATCAAATTAAAAAAGACAAAGAAAATACAAACGTTGATTCAAATATATTCAAAACAACCTCACATATTCATACTTTTCATAGAGCACTTATGCTAATCTTTTGTTATGTCAATCAATTATTCTAAGTCTAGAATGATTTGTTATGATATGCTTAAGTTGTCCGACAGTATTACTAAGTATTCTTAGGCGATTGTTATAGCAATACTACTCAGCGTCAACTACTACCCTTGGTTTGTCAGACTGTTGTTGTAGCAATACCTCTCAGCGTGAACTATAACCGTTGTCTATCATACTCTAGTATCTATCCCTTTTAGTTTATTGAAACCCTCTCCTTATCTCTAAGGTAGGCAGGTTAGAACATCACCATCCCAGATTCATTCCATTGTTCACGTAGATCTATCTTAATTCTCTCGAATCTAAGAATCAATATCTAGACAAACGGCAATCTCTCGAAGCTCTTATAGTGTCAAGACGTGTTTCACCTAGACCCTAGGTAATCTCTCGAAGCTCTTACAGTGTCAAGGCAAAATATTTAAACAAGGAACAAAATAGACATGAGCAAAATCATAATTCATCATTCATAAAACAGAAAATAATTGTTTCGAAAAAACAAAGACTAACACCAAGTAAAGCAGTTCATGGTGTTATAAAAAAGTTAACCAAAGTATCACCGTTTTAATACAACCCCAAACAAAGTAAAGAAATTAAGAACAAAGGAAGAACGACTCCCAAAACTGGGGACTCTGTCGTGACATCTCTGATCAACACCGCGTCTGCCCTGGCTGCCAGCCTCTCTTGAGGTCTGACTGCCGCTCTGCTATAGCCTGGATATGGAGGACACCAAGGACGGTCGGGTTGAAAAACGGTGGGGAAGCACTTCAGTTTCTCACTCAACTTCAGTTAAAGCTCTTCTTTTTTTCTTGCCTCTTTTTTGTCTACTGTGGCTGGGTATTTATAGAGGGAAATCTCCCAGGGTTTCGCACAAGTGAAGATTCCCTAAATACCCATTATTTTCTTATCCAAGCTAAAAAAGGAAAGGCGGCTAGTTGTTGTTAGAATCTTGAGGGCTTACTTGCTCGTGAGGGTAGTCGTACAACTGGCATGTGACATAGGCAATTCATCAGATCCGCTTCAGACTTGTAAGATAAACCTTGCCTCAGGGAGATAAATATGCTTCTCACTAACTTTATCTTTTATATTTCACTGGCCTTTGCTAGATACCTTGTCGCGACTGAAATGTTCTTCTTTAGTTAATTTCCTGCACATACACAATCCAAACAAGCCTTTTCTCCTCGATAGCATCAGTCAAGTCAAATAAATTTTGCCTAAGCAAAACTTATCATCCACAACCTAAATGAAACTAAATGTAACTAATATGCTGTGAACACTTTGTTTATATGAGCAATAACTTAAGTAAAAAGACTAGAAATAGAATCTTTTTATGGAGTTATCACACCCTCAAACATAAACTATTGCTTGTCCTCAAGCAATGGACAATAGTTAGAAAAAATTAAGATTGTCATGGCAAAGTAATATTATGAAAATCATGTGGTTTAAAATTTCAGCCCTCAGCAAAAGTTTGGCCTCAACATGTTTGACTGTCATATCAGTCAAGTATCTTCCCTAGTCAGGATTCCTTGCTAGCGTCTGTGCGTGTTTGTAATCAGTCTATGCATTAATGTAATTAGAAAACTTCAAGTAAGATCTTTTGTTTTGTCAAGGCGTCAAATTATTTGTCAGGCACAGTTTCCACTCCTATTTATTCATCAAATTTTTTTTGGGGGGTCAGCTCATCACACCTACCCTCCCACACTCTAGGTGAAAGGGAGCATACCTTCCACCCCCAAGCTAGTCGGGTAGAGTTATCCTGTGACTACTTTCATTCACTCATATGCCTATTCAACCCTTAATTTTTATGGAGTTTTTTTTATTATGCCATTACATAGAGGAGTGTCACTTTAATTCTTTAGGTTTTAAACACTAAGGAGTTCGACTTTAACCTTAAAATTCTTTGATGTCTCGGCAAGTAGAGAGTTCTTTCCTAAAAATTTACTAATCACCTTAAGCAGATACGACCTACAATCGTGTTTATAATTTTTCAAAGAATCAAGTCTAAGGTCGGTTCTCTCCTTTCGACAATCTTAAAAATAATTCTAGCCTAGACAATTAGATTTTGCTTTCATCATCAGGCATCCCTAATACATTCTAAACAATAGACTTAACATACCTATATCATGAAATAATTTTTTTAACCAATTATCATCTATTGCTTTTTAACAAAGTGTGAAGCAATACCTCCCCCTAACTTGAGGAATGCATTGTCCTCAATGCATGAGAATTCAAAATGCATGAAACTAAATGCAAATGCAGAGAAAAATAAAAATAAAAATGATCTTACTGTGGTGGGTAGCTAGACTAGACGTACGCATTCTGCATCGTTATGGAGGAGGGGGACTCTCTGATCCTGTATCTTCTGCTGCAATCTGTGAGGGAGATGGCTGAAGGACACGACCGGCCGTTCACTTAATACATCGCTTATTTCTCGAGGCTCGTGCTGGTGTTTGTTGTTCTTTAGCTTGGGTGGGTTGTGCAGGAATTACTGGAGTTTGGATTTGATATGGTTTAGGAACTAGCTTAGTGTGACGGACCGGGGACTATTCTGGTGCTTGCTCGGGGGCGGGTTGATCAAGGACTGGAATTAAATCATCGTCGGCAAAGAATTCAGGTGAGATCTCCTGAGTGCTTTCAAAGATAGAGAAGGAGGAGCTGAGGAATTCATCTGTGTCAGCGTGGCCTTCTTCAGGTATGGGTGAGACATGAGTGACCAGTAGAGGAATGTCTGTAGGGACTTATGTGGGAGCATTTTGAGTCGAGGCATTGAATATACTACCGCCAGCAGTGTGTTTCAGGATAA